TAGAGATGTTGTCATGCCCATCAGGCAAGTCTATTACCCAAAAAAAGATAGCAGGGGCCTCACACTTTCCAAAACAAACTTAAATGTGCCTCATTTGACGCTCATCTTGTGGTTTGAATTTGGGGTCTTATTTTAGAAACATTCACAGCTTAAGCAGAAATGAACTGCAACAGACTCCCCCCCTTTTTTTTTTTCAGAAAGTGCCAAGTCAAACAGCTTAAGGGGTCTAGCTTTCTTACTCCCAGGATCTGAACAGTAAATTTCACCCACTGAAGTCATGCCCTGATGCCTTTAGTTTGAGGGATAGTTTTGAACGACCCATCCTTTGCTAATCTATTGGGCAATAAACAGTCTTGCGATTCAATTTTTTTTACTACCAGTTCTGTGGCCGTGACTTAGTGGGCGTGGTGAGGCTTGGTGGGCGTGGCTTGGTGGGTGTGGCATGCTGTAAAATCTCCATTCCCTCCCGATCAGATGGGACTCAGGAGGCAGAGAATAGATGGGGCGGGGCCAGTCAGAGGTGGCATTTTTTGGTTCTCTGAACTACTCAAAATTTCCGCTACCGGTTCTCCAGAACTGGTCAGAACCTGCTGAATAGCACCTCTGGCAAGAAATCCTTGCTTTGAATTTCATGAGTAACAGGTTCACTTTACAATTGTATTGCTAACGTAACAATTGAAGTGATTCATTTAACCACTGTGGCAAGAAAGGTCATAAAATGGGGGGGAGACTCACTTAACAACAATCTGGCTTAGCAATGGAAATGTTGGGCTCAGTTGTGGTCATAAGTGAGAACTACCTGTAATCTTTTTTAAAAGAAAAATAAGAACAAGCACAACAATGAAAAAGTTATACAGCCTCTCCTTCAGGTGATATGGGGAAGGAGCAAGTACCCCTCTCCTCTTTGTGTCGTGGTGAAGACATGGCTGAAGAGGTTGCTAGAGAAGAATGGTGGGGTGGACAGCAGGGAGCTTTTGAGTCCTTCCCAAATCTTCTGCTGCCATGTGAGCAGGAACCCAGGAATCCTTTCCTGTGGTGAAGGCAGCCATAGGCAAAGAAAGGCTCTCCTACAAACAATTGTGCATGACTGATGGAGGAGCAAGTTTTCACCAAAACAATTGAGAGAAAGTTGAACCTCCTGTAGTGAATTCACCATAGGACTGTTGCCTGTATTGGATGCTAAAATTAGGAGACCTCTGGATTGTGGCCCCAAGTCTTGGGCTGAAATGTTTGGTCCCTAAAATGCTATGGGATCCCTGTGGACAGCTGCTCAACGTAACTGCTCTGCATATGTGGAAATGTCCTGGCTAATCTCTGCCTTTTCTTTTCCCCGTAGGATACTCCATGCTACATAGCAAGGAAATCATCCCTGTGGCAGCCATCAGCCTGCTGCCCCCGCTGTTGGTGGCTATCATGATCACCGTGATATTCTATCTCTGCCGAACCCATCGGCAGAAGAGGCTGTCCAAGCAGTGGGCCCAGAAACACACTCAATGCCGTGAGCGGCCTGAATCCAGCAGAGCCGCCACTTATGATGAGATCCTGTCCGTCAAAATAGATCATCATTCTGCTCTCCACCCGGTCCGTGCCGGTAACCTCAACCATATCAACGAACTCCTGCCAGTTGAGTTGGAAGAAAGAGTGGGGAAAGGGCAATTTGCAGAAGTCTGGAAAGCCAAGCTAAAGCATGCATCTTCAGGCAAGCATGAGATAGTGGCCGTGAAGATTTTCCCTTGTGAGGAATTTGCATCCTGGAAAAATGAAAGCCAGATCTTCACGGATGCCAACCTGAAGCACTGCAGCATCCTTCGGTTCCTTTCCGCAGAAGAGAGGCACTCTGGGCTTCAGAAAGAATACTGGCTGATCACTGCCTATCACAGCCAAGGCAATCTTAAAGATTACCTGTCCAGGAATATTCTCAGCTGGAGAGACTTGCAAAAGATGGCAGGTTCCCTCGTGAATGGCGTGACCCACTTGCACAGTGACTACACTGCCGGTGGCAGTCCAAAGATTCCCATTGCCCACCGGGATATCAAAAGCACAAATGTTCTCATTAAGAACAATCAAGAATGCGTGCTCTGTGATTTCGGGATTGCTCTGAGACTGGATCCATCTTTAAGCGTGGGAGATTTTGCTAATAGTGGACAGGTGAGTATTGTAGAACAAAGCTAATAGTTTATTTTGCTTGTTGACTCAAGCAAAGAGGGCATTGTGCATTTCTCCAACACACCATGGCCATCACCCACACCCACAGGCTTTCTTGCATTTCTCCACCCCACTTGTTTCTTCACCTGGAATGCAGCCATATGAAAAGAGAAATGAAATCCTGTGTATGCTTTCTTCTGATCAGGAACATGTTCCATGTTGCATGGGAACTCACATATGTAGAACTCTCCATGTTTCGTGTTCTCTTGTGCAAATGTTCATGGTCAGCATGAAGGTATGGCATGCAGTATTAAAATAATTAACGTGGTGCATGCAGGAGTGTTCTTGTTTACAATTTCCCTTGCTTGAAATCAATCCAATGGAAGTCGTACCTGGTAAACCTTTAGATCAGACGTGCTGCTTGACCCTGCATTCATTATGAGCAGTTAAGTCAGTCATAGTTTCCTTATTTTGCATCTGGCTCTACCCATAGTAGCAACATGGTGGTTAGCAATCTTTGCAGAAGGAATGGATTGATTTATCCATTCAAGGTTTTTTTTATTTTTTAATACAAATTATATATATTGTAGGAACAAAGAGGTGTCCAGGTGTTTTTTTTTTTACATTCTCTCATTTACATAAGAATGGATTGATCTCTCTCTCTCTCTCTCTCTCTCTCTCTCACACACACACACACACACACGCACGCACACCAGAGGTGGTATTCAGCAGCTTCTGACCATTTGTGGAGAACAGGTAGTGGAAATTTGAGTAGTTCAGAAAACCAGTAAATATCACTTCTGACTGGCCCCATCTATTCTCTGACTTCCAGCTGATTGGGAGGGAATGGAGATTTGACAGTATCCTTCCCCTGCCATGCCCACCAAGCCACACCCAC